CCCCAATCAACCTCCCCCCCCAAACTCCCCCAAAACCTCCATCCCCTGCCCCACCTCTTGCCCAGGGTGACCCCTGCCAGCTTGATGAGGTCCCTCATGCAGGGGGTGATGAGCACGGGGGGCTCGTCGCTGTCGCCGGCCTCGTCGTAGCTCTCCACCTGCTCCACCACGAACTGGGCGTGGCGCAGCAGCGAGTCCTCCGTGAACCGGTTGAAGTTCAGCCCCACGGGGGGCACCGTGGTCTGGGGGGGGGGGGAAGGTCAGGGGTCGGGAAGGGCTGGTTGACCCCTCCCCACCTCCCCAGAAATCGCCCATTCCTGGAATCGGTCGAGGCCGAGGGGTCCCAGCTGTGACCTCCCCCTCGACCTGGGTGGGTTATCCCACCCTTTTCCATGGAAAAATTCCCTCCTGGTGTCCGGCCTGAGCCTCCCCCTTGGGGGCACAGCCTGGAATCGCGGGATTGGTGGGGTTGGAAAAGCTCCCCTTTTCAATCTCCAACCCCTTTTCCATCTCCAACCCCTTTTCCATCTCCAACCCCTTTTCCATCTCCAACCCCTTTTTCCATTTCCAATCCCTTTTCCATCTCCAATCCCTTTTCCATCTCCAACCCCTATTCCACGTTCTCCAATCCCTTTTCCACGTTCTCCAGCCCCTTTTCCATGTTCTCCAGACCCTTCTCCTGCTCTCCAGACCCTTCTCCAGACCCTCCAGGTGTCCCCCAAGGTGCCCCCACCTCGAACTTGTTGAGCAGGTCCTCGTAGCTGACGTCACCCCTGGGGACACCCCTGGGGACACTGACCCCAACACTGACCCTGCTGACCCCCGTGGTGACCTGCTGACCTCCCCGGTGACCTGCTGACCCCCCTGGTGACCCCCCCAAGGTGCCCCCACCTCGATCTTGTTGAGCAGGTCCTCGTAGCTGACGTCGGGGTTGTTCTGCAGGAACTCCACCACGATCTTGCTCATGTAGATCTTCTCCTGCATGAGGGCGAAGGTGGGCGCGTACTCCTCGCTGGGCTCCATCAGGATGTAATCCGCGAACGCTGCGGCCGGAAAAACACGGAATTCCGGCCCGGAAAACCAGGAATTCCGTTAAAAATCCGTCGGGGGGGGAGCTGCGGGGTCGAGGTCAGGAGGGGGGAGGGGAAAGTCCCTCGGGGGGAGAGCCCGACATGGTGATGGGGAGGGGAAAAGAGGGGGGAAAAGGGGAGGGAAATGGAGGAAATAGCTAATAAAGGTCAAAAAAATAGGTCATGAAAGGTCAAAAAATACCCAAGAAAGGTTAAAAAAACAGCCTCAAAAAATAACCAAAAAAAGGCCAGAAGGTAGCCAAAAAAGAGTCAAAAAAAAGACCAAAAAAAACACCTAAAAAAGGCCAAAAAAAACACCCAAAAAAAAGCCAATAAAGGTAAAAAAATAGGCCATGAAAGGCCAAAAAGTAGCCCAAGAAAGGCCAAAAAAATAGCCACAAAAAGGCCAAAAAACACCCAAAATGGCCAAAAAGCACCCAAAATGGCCTAAAATTAGCCCCAAAAAAAGGCCAAAAAATACCCCCAAAAAAGACCAAAAAATAGCCCAAAAAGGCAAAAAAAACCAACCAAAAAATGACCAAGCCCCCCTCAGAACATCCCAGTGAGGCCCCACCTGTGCTGAAGCCGATCAGCGCCTTCTCCCCGCCGTCGAAGCCCGTGATCCACCAGGCGTTGATGGGCCCCAACTTCTTGGCCCTCACCCCTCCTGCAAGCCAAGAAAACAACCCCCCATAAATCCCACCTCCTTCCAGAGGCCCCCCAAAACACCCCAAAAAAATCTCCCGCCCCATCTCACCGTCCAGGCAGGGGTTGTCGTCGTAGATGGGCTTGACGGCGCCGCTGAAGAAGAGCTCGACGTTCCTCTCGATGAGCCCCGTGTCGAAGGGGCACAGATGGCCCTTCCTGTCGTAGACACTGCCAGAAAAACACCCAAAAAACGTGACATCATGATCCCCAGAGATCCCTGCAGATGGTGGGGATGGTTTTTTTTTATCCCCCCTCCCTGTCGATGAGCCCGGTGTCGAAGGGACACAAATGGCCTTTCCTGTGGTAGACGCTGCCAGAAAAACACCCCAAAATCGTGACATCCCCCATCCCCAGGGATCCCTGGGGATTTATTTTTTTAATCTCCTGGGTGTTTTTTTTGTTTTTTAACCCCCCCACTCCACCTGAAGGAGGTGACTTTGTGCTGGGGGAGGTCCTCGTAGCTCTCGAAGCCGTCCTCGTTGGCGTCGAAGAGGGACAGGCGCTCGTCCGTCAGCATCTCAGGCTCCTCCAGCTGCCAGAGAGGAGGGGAGGGGGGGGGAAAAAAAACATGGATTCAGCTTCCAGAGGGGGGATTTGGGAATGGGAAAATAGGGGGGGTTGGGTTCCCTGAAGGGCTTTTTTTTTTTGGGTACTCAGTGATAGCAAAGGTGCTTATATACAGAGAAATACGGTATATAGTTGATATATAATCCTATTTTCATATATAAGTTGGATCTTGACATCATATATATAATTATAAACTATATAGACATTGTATACCTTCGTGGGAATTCATAAAATTATATTTATGGTTTATTTCATTTCCGGTTTCTGGTTTTTTTTTGGCTACTCGGTGGCGGCAAAGGCGCTTATATACGGAGAAATACGGTATATAACTGATGTATTTTATAATTCCATTATATACTTGATTATAAAGCAGATCTTGACGTCATATGCATAATTACCCATATTATATGTTTCTATGAAAATTCACAAAATTACATTTATGATTTATTTGATTTCTGGTTTTTGGATTTTTGGTCAGCAAAGGCGCTTATATACGGAGAAATACGGTATATGATTGACATTTATACAAAATTATATTTTGACATTAAATGATGTTTATATGAAATTACTTATTGATATTAAATGACATTTATAAGTTATCATGTATTGATGGTAAGTTAAATTTATATGAAATTATATGGTGTTATTAAACTAGTGTTATTAAATGATGTTTGGAATTCTGAAGTGGCATAAAATGACATTTCTATTAAATTATATATTGACATTAAATGACATTTATATGAATGTATATAATGACATTAAATGACACCTTTATAAAATTATATAGTGATATTGTGATAGCTATACTAAATTACATTTATACAAGTTTATATATTAACATTAAATATTTATATATTAAATGTTACTTATATGAAATTATAAACTGATATTAAATTATATACCAAATTATATAGTGGTATAAAATAATATTTCTATTAAATTATATATTGACATTAAATGACGTTTATATGAAATTATATAGTGACATTAAATGATGCCTTTATAAAATTATGCAGCGATATTGAGTGACATTCATATGAAAATATATAGTGACATTAAATTATATGAATTTATAAATTAATATTAAAAGATATTTATACAAACTTATATATTAATGTTAAATTTTGCTTATACAAATTTATACTTTAGTATTAAGTGATATGCAAATTTATACATTACTATTATGTGACACTTATATATTAAATGATATATAAAATTATCTGGTGATATTAAATGATACATTAAATTTTATATTGGCAATAAATGATATTTATGTGTAATTATATACTGACATTAAACCATGTTTATGCGAAATTCTATAATGACAATAAGTGATAATTTGTACAAAATTTTATATTGATATTAAACGATAAATGAAATTAAACGATAATTAAATGGAATCAATTAAATGGTAAATGATCCCCTTACGGCGTCGTCGGGATCCCCTTGGAAGAACTTGAGGTCGGGGTCGTCCAGGTACTGCCGGCACTCCACGCACTTGGGAGGGGTGGTCTGAGAGGGGGAAATTCCAGGCATTATCCCGGGATTTCACCACCAAATCCCGGGGTTTTTCCATCAGGAACGGCCCCAAATGCACCAAATCCCACCCCCAAAAAAAAAAAAACAACAACATTCTGGGATGAGCTGGGAATGGTTTGGAAGGACCCCCCAGGGACACCCCACCCTGGGGAGCTCATCCCGAAAATTTGGGATGAAATAGTAAGGGATGAAATGGAATAATGAGGGATGAAATGAAAAAATAAGGGATGAAATGGAAAAATAAGGGATGAAATGAAATGAAATAATAAGGGATGAAATGGAATAATAAGGGATGAAATGGAATAATAAGGGATGAAATGGAATAATAAGGGATGAAATGGAATAATAAGGGATGAAATAACCCCCCAAAAAAATGGTTGGAATGGGGGAAAAGAGGGAACAGGATGATCCACCCACACTTTGAAACTCATCCCAAAGCTTTGGGAAGTGGAAATGTGGGAATTTCAGCTGATGAAATGACCCCAAAAGCAGTTGGAAAAGGGGAAAAGGGACTCACTTTCGCAGGGGTGGTGATTTTAACCTGAGGGATTTCGTCCCTGAGCTCCGACCTGGGAGTGGAAAAACAGGGATGAGGGGGCGGGAAAATGTTCCCCCCTCCTTTTCATCCCACCCTGGAATGTTTCCCCCCCCTTTTCCCTCCTCTTTCTTACCCATCCTTGGCTTCCACTTTGATCCTTTTCTCGTCCTGTTCCTTGAGGGGAAGAGCCGGGAAATAAAAATAAATTAAGGGGGGGAAAAAGTTGGGAGAGAGGATGAAAAGTAGGAAGTGGGGGGGGGGAAAAAAACTCCTGGATCCCAAAAATCATCCCCAAAAAGTGGATTTTTTTGGGGGGAGACCCCCCCCCTCACCTTGTCCTCGGGCTCCTCTTCCTCCTTCTCCACCTTCATCGTCACCTCCCGCTCGGCCTCCCCGTTGGCCTCCCCCGACTTCCTCTTGTGGGACCTGCCGGGATCGGGAATTCTTGGGATTTTGGGGAAGGGGGAAATTCCCAGGTTTTTTTTTTTTGGGGGGGGGAAGGGAAGGTCCCAAAAGCCCCTTCCCCCAAAAAACTGACCCTTTGGAGAAGAGGCTGAGCAGGGTGGGCTGGCGGCCGGAGCTCCGCGTCACCCGCGAGCTGGAGGGGGACTCTGCCGGGAGAACGGGATGGGAGAGGGTGGGAAAGGGGAGAGGGGGGGGAAAGGGAGGTCTTTCAGTCTTTCACAGCCCCCCAGACCCCAAAAAACATTCCCCAGGGTGTTCCCCATCTCCCATCCCGACAGGAGATCCCAAAACCCTGCTCTTCATCCCAATAGGAGACCCCCAAAACCCTTCCTGAGGGGATTTCCCACTCCCCATCTCACCAGGAGATCCCAAAACCCTTCCCAAGGGGATCCCTGATCTCCATCCCACCAGGAGACCCCAAAACTCTTCCCGAGGGGATCCCTGATCTCCATCCCAACAGGAGACCCCAAAACCCTTCCTGAGGGGATCCCTGACCTCCATCCCACCAGGAGACCCCAAAACCCTTCCTGAGGGGGTTTCCCACTCCCCATCCCATCAGCAGACCCCAAACCCCCCCCCAAAGGGACCCCCTTTTTACTTCTGCCCTCGCCGTTCTTGGCTCGGCTCCGGCTCCTCCGGGAGCCCCTCCTGGCCCTGGGGCCGGGGCCCAGCAGGGACTGCGGGTGGGGGGACGAGGAGGACGAGGAGGATGAAGAAGAGGATGATGAGGATGATGATGATGAGGAGGACGAGGCCACCCCTTCCTCCATGTCCTCATCGTTGTCGCTGCCGTAGCCGTTGGCGGCGACTCCGGTGGCCACCGAGAGCTCCCAGTGCAGCAGCGCCTTCACCTGGGCCAGGTAACGCTCCTGGAGGGGGTGGGGGTGGGAAAAATTTGGGATAAACACCCCCAAAAACCAGGATAACCCCCCCCCAAAATCCTGGATTGGTCAGGGGGGGACAGGGGGGTGCAGGGAAGGAGGGGATTGATGAGAGCTCCCAGCGCCTTCACCTGGGCCAGGTAGTGCTCCTGGAGGGGGTGGGGGTGGGGAAAACTGGGATAAACCCCCCCAAAACTGGGATAAACACCCCAAAACTGGGATAAACCCCCCCCAAAATCCTGGATTGGTCAGGGGGGGACAGGGGGGTGCAGGGAAGGAGGGGATTGATGAGAGCTCCCAGCGCCTTCACCTGGGCCAGGTAGCGCTCCTGGAGGGGGTGGGGGTGGGGAAAAT